CTAAAACTGTAGCTGAGCCAACCCAATTGAATGTTTTGTTCATAAGAGTTTCCATGGTCATGGTGTCTTTTCAGGATAATAGAAGCCTTAACTAAGACAGGCAGGGAAATGCAGAAGGCTAGTGAAGGTGTGATTTAAAGAGGAGGGCATGTTCTAGCCCCAACAAGCAGCAGAACTTGGCAGCTTTGACCACATGTTGCTAGCTTTAACGTTAAGGAGAAAAGAAAGGGGCTACGGAATTTTCCACAGAGACTAAGGAAAGCCACTGAGGCCAGGCATATGTCAGGTGTGTTCCTGAATGTAGGCTTAGTAAAGAGGACCAATGAGTGAAGCTGGGAAGCTGGGAAGTTGAAGCCTGGATTGCCTTAGAGACCCCCAGATTTTAGAGATACCAGTCATGAGATATCTGCCAAGGAAAGCTGCTACGGGGAGTGGAATAAGACCAAGAAATGAAGTGTGGTGCAGTCAACAAAGCTGAACAGAGCTGGAGATCTCAAGAGCATTTTGACATCAGACATGGAGATGCAGTTTGGAATTCCGTCAGCTGGTTCTCAGTCTTGCTTTGATCCAGTATTTCCTCATTATATTCCTTTCCCTATGTTTTTTAAATTATAATGTATATCCTGTGCTATTACATATTGGAAGTATGTGATATGTTTTTGGATTGTGGTTTTTACAGAGGATTACAGTTAATAAATTGCATGAATCTCAGAAAAGATCTTGAACTTTAGACTTTCAAGTAAGTTTAAAACAAGTTTGATAGGCTATAGGGACTTTTAAAGTTGGAATAAATGCATTCTACATGATGATATTGTCACAAGCTTAAGGGAACAAGGGAGTGGAATATGGTAGTTTGAAATTAATTGGTCCCCTAACATCATAGGGATTGGCACTATTAGATGTGGCTTTGTTGGAGTAGGCTTGATCTTGTTGGAGGAAGTCTGTCAATGTGGAGGCTAGCTTTGAGAATTCAGATATGCTCAAGTCACACTCAGTGAGACAGCCCACTTGTTGTTGCCTTCAGAACAAGATGCAGCCAACACCATATCTGCCTGTATGCCCCCATGCTCCCTGCCATAATGATGACGGACTGAACCTTTGAAACTGTAAGCTATCACTTCAATTAAATGCTTTCTTTTATAAGAGTTGTCATGGTCTAAATGCCCTTTCCTGATAATGAGATCGCCAACTAACTTATCCACCATCATGGAGCCCTCATCTAGTAGCTGATAGAAACAGAAGCAAACACCCACAACTAAACACTGAGCTAAACTGGAATCCAGATACAGAGAGGGAGGACAAGAACAGGCTGCAGAAATAGCTGACCTGAACAAGGAGGAACTAACAGGCCCCCAGACTGATAGCTGGGAATCCTGCATGGGACTGATTCAGACCCCCTTGAACATGGGTCTCAGCTAGAAGGCCTGAGCCGTCTAAGGAACCTCAGACAGTGGGACCAGAATGTATTCCTGGTGCACAAAAGGACGTTGGGAACACATGCCCCATGGAGGGATACTCCCTTAACCTAGAGACAGGAGAGAAGCCCTGATTCCCTACTCCAAATGACTTGACAGATGTAGATGACCCCTCCTGGAGGGATCACCCTACAATGTGGAGTGATGGGGGGATGGGAGGGGGATATGAGAGGGTGGGAGAGAGGGAAAGAGGGAAGTAGGAAAGGAGGGAGAGGGAACTGGGATCAATATGTAAAATAAAATAAAAAAAGCTTACAGAACACCAAAAAAAAAAAAAAAAAGAAGAGTTGCCATGGTCATAGTGTCTTTTCACAGCAATAGAAATGCTAAGACACCCTTTTACCTTTCTTAGTACTATAACAACACATATATATCAAAATTTAGACTACTTGGTTATAAAAACAGCACTCAAAAATCTATGGGAAAAGGTACAAATATGATGTCTCACCAATAAGACTACATAAATCTGAGCGAACAAGGACAACAAAAATAGACATACAAAAATAAATTGGTAAAAGACCACAAAGAACTATAGACAACTAAAAATGCTGAGAGTGTGAGAAATAGTCTTCCTAGGAAAGAGAATGTCAACTGGTTATCCAATACCTAATAATCAGCCCTGAAAATATACATGCCAGTAACCTTATATGGACTGAATTGGTTACCTGGGTGTTTGCTAATTTACAAGGGGTCATAGTTAACAGGCTGCCTTAAGAGACTTTGGACTTTAGAACAGTGATGAGACTGTTAAGAACTGTGGGGACTTTGGCAGTTGGACCAAATGAATTTCACCTAATTTGATGGCCATTGACTATGGGGGACAGGGCAGAATGTGGTCGTTTCCATGATAAATGTCTCCTGCTGCATGTGTTTTGAACCCTTGGTCTCCAGTTAGGGTGATTTTGAGGTTTTAGGGGCTGGAGATATTGCTCAGTGGTTAGGACCACTGGCTGTTCTTCCAGAGGTCCTGAGTTCAATTCCCATCAAACACATGGTGGTTCACAACCATCTGTAATGAGGTCTGGTGTCCTCTTCCGGCCGGCAGGCATACATGCAGGCAGAACACCATATACATACTAAATGAATATTTTTTTTAAATGAGAGAAGACCCTAATTGATTATCTGATCCCAACTGATTAGCCCTGAAATCATATGCATATAAATAACACTAAACAGACTGAGCAGGCTGTATTTATTAATATGTGTAACAATAACAAAGAAAATGAGCCCATGATTTCAAGAGCTGGTAGGGGTGGAGGTACACGGTAAGGGCTAGATGGAGGAAAGGGAAGGGTCAAATGATATACTACACTTTAATTCTTTTCAATTTATTAAAATATTAGAAATGAAATGAAAAGCAAATTTATAAGGTAAGCAAGAAAAGAAAGTAACAACATAAAGAAAGAAGAGAGCATCTACCGTATAAATCCAAGAATATAACCAAGTGAAAGGGTAGTGGTTTCTAGGGACTGATAATGAAGGCATGATTCCATTACAGCATAGGAACGAAGGAATTTCTGGTGGTGATGAAGACACTCTGAGTCGGTAATGATGGTTAGGAGCAGGCTTGCACTTACTGAGAAGTAGGGTGTGGTGTGGTGAAAATCCATAAATTTTACTGTGTGTAAATGATACTGTGGTTAACCTACTTTCATTTTTTATATATATATTGCATTAAGTGAGTGTGTGTGCATGTGTGGAGGGAGCAAAGAATTGCTACTTCAGGCTTGCGGAAATCAGAGGTGAGCTTGCAGAAGTCAGGTCTCCTTTTCCAGCATGTGGGGCCCGGGGAATGAACTCAGGCTATCAGAGCTGTTCCCCAGAGGAACAATCCCATTGTCCTCCTAATTATCTTATTTTAAAAACTTAGGATTGAAGAGATGATTCGAGGGATACGTTTCCTGCCTTCCAAGCCTGACTACCTAATGTCAAGGTTCCAGAATCAAAATAGGGGAGTCAGAGAACTGGCTCCTGCCATTTCACTTCTGACCTCTGCACATGGGCAGTTGAACGTGCATGGCCACAAACAAACAAAAATAAGTGTAAGACAAATTTAGTTAAACATAACCTAAGAAAGCATATTGAGCAGTAAAAACAATATCATAAGGCATACATTGCACTGCAGAACAACCAACAAAAAACAGAAGTATACATATAGAATAGGAAGGTAAGGTATACGATATCATAAGGTATATTATGTAGGAAGCAAGGTGTGGGGCTGGAGATATGGGTCAGAAGAAGGCTTGATGACATGCTCCAGGACTATGACTCAATAAGCAGCTCTGAAAAAAATAATGTTTCAATATTTGTAACAAATATTTTTATGTTTTAATATTTTAAAAGAAATATGTTTTAATGCATACAAGCACACATTGTGACCTAGTCATCATTCTAAACCTTTGAAACATCCACCTGGACACATAAACAAGCTGTGCCTTAAGGATGGGATCACTAGTAGTGATCTCTTTGGACAGTGCTGTCTACATTTCCTAGGTTAAACATAAAATCTACGGAAAATATGAAAATAAATATTCCAAACCCCCTCATCTTCAAAAGCTTTAGAATATACTAAAAGTAAAGCTAGACAGCAGAACTTTCCAGAAGGACAGTGAAGCCCACACCTGAGTGAACTGACAGTGGAGATGAACGCTGTGGTGCAGAAGCACCTTCACCTGGGATGTCTCATCCTAGTCACTGTAGGGCACTGGGGATGTCTGAAGGATCCCACAGCACACCTCTGGGTGAGCCTGTGAGGACATTTCCTGAGATGATTAGCATATGAGGTGTCTGATCTAATGATGCATTTTGACATTTGACAGGTGTTAAAAGATGGGAGAATTTTCTTGGGGAGTCTGGATGGAGGAAGTGCATAACCTGGCATGTTTCTTTGGGAGCTGTATCCTTCCTTGATTCCATCCTGTTTTACTCGGCTGTGCTTCCCATTGGCCATGAGGTTAAAAGCTCTGTTCTAGTGCATCCTCCACCATGGTGGAGGAAACCTCTGAAATAAGAGATGAATGGATCCCTCCTCCTTTCATTGTCTTACTCTGGTCCCAGCAGGGAGAAGCTACCTAACACATGCCTTGTGTCTGCTGCACAAGCATGCAGTAAGATGCTGGGGCTCTTGTCCGCTGCTCAGCCTGGCAGAAAAGGCATCCCTGATGAAGCTCCATTAAAGGTAGGTGTCAGGTCTGTCATAGTCACAGGGAAACCAGCCCCTAATCACAGCATTTGCCAGCTAGGACACATAGGTTGTAAAAGGTAACAATCAGGAGAGGAGGGGAAGAATATGCAATATGTCAGTTGATGCTGAGAGGATATAGGGAGAAAAGGAAGGGAACCGGTATCCTGGAAACAGAGAGAGGCAAATCCACTGTCAAAATATCAACACCTGATGCTAAGTAAAGGCAGGTGTCAGGGTCTCGGCAGTGATGGACATTGAAGATCCAGTGTTGTGAGGCTACAAGAGTTCAGGGAAGGGATAAGGGCTTACCTAAGAAGAACAAGCCAAGAAAGGACCAGGCCTTAGAGCTTGTTACATAAAGAATGGGAATCACAACATGTAAGTTGCATTTTCAAACTTCCCTTCATAGTGGTAACATTACTGCAATGTTCCCAGCATGCCTGGGCCCCATAACTGAGAGATTCACCTGCAGAGGAAGACAGGCAAGAGAAAAACGTAAATATTTTGGAAGGAATCAGTGACTTTTTCAGGGAGGAAATTCAAGGTCCCAGGCTAATCATTCATCTGGTAAATTTACACAGAGTATCCTATTCATAGAATTTAGTATACAAATCCATTCATCCCTGATTATATTCACCTAGAAAGGCCTGAGAACCTTCAAAAAAGTATTTTTTTATCTTAACTGATTTTTTTCTCACCTACCATTATTGGCAACTAATACCAAAAGTGGAGAGCCCTTTCCTACACATTCTCCCACACTCTGTTTTTGCCCACGAATCTGGGGAAGGCTGCATCCCTCAAGAATAAGCATGATCACTCTGACAACTTCAAGAAATCACATACCTGAAGTGGCTACCCATAAGAGACACTTCTGACCTTTTTTAGTAGCACAGTATCTTGACTGTGTCTCACAAATCTTGGAAGAATTGACAAATTCACACTTGACACACAGCACAGCTGAGAAGGCAAAACCAAGTGTAAGAGGTTTGTTCAGGGTCAGCTTCAAGCATCATGCCTGTGGACCTGAAGAAGAGTTAATGGCTGCGGGGACTGTTATGCTGACCCTCATTATGCTGACTCTTGGAGGACTCTGAAAAGGGATGACTTCAGAACAACCCAAATCCTGCTAATGGACAGGCTGTAAGGATGAAAATTACAACACACATACTTATCATATCTACTGGTGTCAGGAAACAGAGCCTCGGAAGACTCCTGACCTGAATCTCTCCAGGCTGTGGGTCTGGTCAGAAAAGGGCCACCGGAGCCAACCACACACGTTCAGGTAAATCCTCCCATTTTTCTCATTGTGTCGTCTTATCAAGAACTGGACAACCCAACTTTCAACCTACATTTAGGACCATGAACAATTAAGCTGGAGAAATTGAAAATGTTGCAGTAGGAAGGAGGGGAAATGAGGAAGAAAAAGACAAGGAACTTGAGGAAGGACCAGAACCAGGAAAGTAAGAAATAGGAGGAAGATAAAAAGGACAATTGTGGTCACATTAGAGGCAAGGAGGCAAAGGTAATGTGTGGGTATGAGAATGAAAGACTTAGAGATCACATCCAAACACAGTCAGGCCCTATCTCCTGCTGTTCATTTCCCCAAAGCATAAGACACTGTGGAAATCAAATGTCTGCCCACCAGCTCTACCACTTAGCAGGATCTCACCTTGCTGGGAGCCCACCAGCAAAGAAGGCCTGGCAGGAGCAGCAGGAAGTACCCTCCCCTTGCAGTGGGATCCTAAGAGCAGAAACCAGCAGAGATATATGCCATTTTCTGATTGGACATAAGGCCCACTCCTTAAGATAGAATTCATGCCTAGTACTATTATTATTATCCAAGCAAATACCCTGTGACTGACTGGATTATAGGTTTTAGGGAGAACCCAATTTTATCGTTCTGCTAAATGAACATAGTAATAAACTGCCCCTAAATTATATTTCTACCAATAAATTAGTGTATCACCCAACCCTTGTCAGAGAAGTTTGCTTTTTCAATGAATGATCATTAGTACAGAAACACGGAACTGGTCAACACACAGAGAATAAGAGACTGTGGGTGCTCAGCTCAGTGTTACAGCTGTATCAACCTGTTACCCAGCAAGGCTCTGAGGTCATCACAGAAGTGATAGAAAGCTTGCAAGCCATGGATAGTGGATGTCAGCAGCAAAACACAATTTGTCAGACATGCCAGTGTCTTTGCACACATGAACTCACAGAGGTTCTACCTGCATGTACAAGATTAAGATGTTCAAATTCCTGTCATGGAAGACAGGAATGATCATGAAGTTCCAGTCCTAAAAGAGAAGTTATTGACAATTTATGGAAGAGGGGGGCAGTTCTTTTAATTCAGGCATGGGGATCCACAAGAATATATCCATGCTCCAGTAAATGGTATTACACTCTTGCCCAAATAGTCAGTATTGTGTGGATTCTGTGATTTAAATACACAGCACATACAGTTGGGAGGGAAAAAATGATGGGATTAGATGGGAAAGAAAATGAAGGAGAGGGAAGGAGGTGGTTTCATAAAAATTCATACACATGTACAAAATTCTCAACCAATATAAAAAATAAAGCTCACACACTAACATTTATTTTAATGATCTTTGAAAACTTCAATACTAAAAAAGTTCCATTTTGGAATTTGCCTTCAAAATTCTTAAGATCCTACAGCCTTTCTCCACTACTCCATCCCTTTGTCTCAGCCACCAACTCCAAGAGACACACCCCGGAAACACTCCAGTCCTGACAGCCCAGAATCCAGGTAGGTAATGTTACTGTCCCTCTGTCCTACAATTTCAGTCCCCCAGCTGTATCTCTAGCTTGCAGCAGAACACCTGGTATTGACATCTGTCCTCTCTGCCCTCATTCCCAGGGGTGTATGTGTGCAGATCCTGGTGGCAATCCAGTTTCCTCCATCCTGCAGACCTTCCCCCACCTTCTAGCCCATCCTTGTTCTTTAATGTCAGCTCCTGATACCGAGAAATATGTTCATCCCTGGACCACCAGTGGCCACAGCTGACAGGATCTCAGAAGCATTTTTAACAGGCAATACACCAACAGGGTCTCGTTGGAACCTCCCCAACAAATACAAGGCCAGATACCAGCACCTAGAATTACAGCCATCCCAAACACAGACTAGACACCAACATAAAAACACAATCAATAGTGGGTATAACAATATATTTCTACTGGAGACAGGCAATCCTACTACTGTGGGCTCTTAGAAACGTAATATACCTGAAGCACAAGAGAAGGAATTCAAAAAGGAACTCTAAGAGGATATGGGGGGAGGAATCCCTCCATAAAGACTATGGAAAAAAAGTGAAATAAAATAAGCAGTTCAAGACATGAAAGTGGAAATAGAATCAATAAAGAAAACCAAAACTGAGGAAAAACTGGAAGCAAAAATGTAGAAACACTAACAGGAACCACAGAGGCAAGAATCACCAACAGATACCAGTGATGGAAGACAGCATCTCATCACTGAAGGCAAGAGACAGGAAATGAGTACTTCAGTCAAGGAAAATATTAAATCTAAAATAAATAAATCAGGCACAGAAAATCCAGGACACCATGAAATGACCAAATCTACAAATAATAGGAATAGAGGAAGGAGAAGAAACACAGATTAAAGGCACAGAAAGTATTTTCTTTTTAATTAATACCTTGGATCTTTTTCTTTGCATAAAATAAGATATACAAATTTTTATTTTGTTATTTTCTTGTATTGAAAATAGGAGTTTTTTCATATAAATATATCCTGAGAAGATGTCACCTCTTGATGGGTAATGAAAACATATACCTCTAATTCCAGCACTTGGAAGGCAGAGGGAGCAAATCTCTGTGAGTTCAAGGCCAGCCTGGTCTACAGAGCTAGTTCTAGGACAGCCAGGGCTGCACAGAAAAACCCTGTCTCAAAAAAAACCAAAAATATTAAAAAAAAAAAAAAAAAAGATTTCCCCTTTCTCTACTCCTCCCAGTTTTTCCCCACCTCCTCTCCCATCCATATCCATTTTGTCTCTCATTAAATAGGCAGTTTGGGTCAGGTGGATGCTTTGCACAGGGGAATTTCTCAGGAATCTATCAGGAGCACCTCCGTTTAGATTCCCAACAATAGCGGATAAGTAACCAAAACTGACCATCTCCTATGACCAGATTGGTGCCTGACCCAATTGTCATCAGAGAAGAGTCCAGTAACTGATGGAGGCAGATGCAGAGACCCACAACCAAATATTAGGCTGAGTTCTGGAACCTGCAGAGGAGGAGGAGAAATGAGTGGGATTACTATGCATGATGTGAAATTCCCAAAGAATCTGGACAAAACACTAACAAACAGGAAACGAGCCCAAGAGAAGGCACAAGAAGCAGAGGCCCACTTATTCTCACACTCAAGAATCCCATAAGCACACTTAACTGGAAGCAATAATATATACACAAACAGCCTGGTGCAGACTTGTGCGGGCCCCACGCTTGCTCCTCAGTCTCTGTGAGTCCACATGAGCTTTGCTCATGTTGATTTATAGGGCCTCATTTTGTTGATGTCCTTCATCCCTTCTGACTTTTATGTATTTTGTCATACATTTTGCCCTGAGGGGAGAGTTTAGTATTTCAAGGTCTCTCACTTTGTGTGCAATATCTGTCTATATTCGGATCTCTGTATTTGTTCATATCTGGTGCAGGAGTAAGCTTACTTGCTAATAGATGAGCAAGGCACTCATCTGTGAGTTTAGCAGAATGTCATGAGGAGTAATTTTATTACTACAGATTTTGTTTGTTTCTTTGTTTTAGAATGGTACTATTTGGTTTTATTCTGAGTACCCAGGCTATCTAGTCTCAGGTTCTTGGTCATCCAAGCAGTGTCAGGTATGAGTTCCATTTTGGGAAGTGGAATCTGAAGTCAACTCCGATATTGGCTGGTTACTCCCACGCACAAGCTTTGCATAACCATTGACCTAGCATACCTTGCAGAAAGGACACCAGTGTATATCAAAGGAATTATGTAGTAGATCCTAATTGCTGCTCTTCTACATTGCATGGTCTATTGTAGGGTCCCATATACCAGATCCTATGGGTCTCATGTTCTCCTCCCATACCAAAGTGGAAACAACATCCCTGGTAATCCAGACTACATCATCATTTACAAAAGAAAACTCTTTAAACTTTTAACTTTGTTGTAAACTACACCCTCTGAGCTTTGGGAAACCTTTGGAGAATGGCATGACAGCCACTTATTCCTATATATACCTGTCTCAAAAACAATTTGTTGAGACTCTGCCTTGAGAAACCCATATCCACACTTGGATATATATATATGTATGTATGTATGTATGTATGTATGTATGTATGTATATATGATAGATTGTACAATGCAGTATGAGTATAACAGACATTCCATTGGGCTAAGGCAGAACTCCTCAAGGACTTGAGTTAATTATCAAGATATAAGGCTGTAGGTTAATTCTATACTCCCGGTTCCACTAAGACTACTTTCACAAATGTTGCTCATAATCTCTATTGACAAATCTAATTGCCTTTGAATGACCAGAGAGCTTGTCCACTTATAAGTAAGGATGATTGAAAGCAAAGGTTAGGGGCAAACATAGTGCAAAATTTTATAACAGGGACTTGAATATTCATGGATTTGGCATCAGGAGAGGACCTGGAGTGAGTCCCTTTCATAATACAGAGAGATGGCTATACACTATACAATCTGGACTTTGATTTCTTTTGAACAATGTATGATATAAGCAAAATATTTCATTGTAGCTTTGTAGGATGCTATAATCAATTCCTCACATTTATTTGTACTTTTAATATCATTTGCAAAAATAATGTTGAACACTATTCACTGAAATATAATGAAATCATTATAATTTCATTTGTGTTTGATTGTATCTGTAAGATAATTTCATATAACCAGAATCACTGGCTTAAAAGCATATTTGTTAGTT